CAATTTATATGACTGCCCATCTCATAAAAAGTGACTCTAGGTAGCTTTCAACAAAAACACCACCATCATCATCGTCACTGTCTTCATCATCATCTTCCTAGTATTATTCCCTTGGATGCAGGGTCCGCTTTACAGATCGACAAACTCCATCTTGCACAATCAAATGCAGCATCCGGGTTATGTCTGCATTTTGGCAGAGATGGCTGTAGATCCATTGGTTGTGACAAGTGACTGACCAGCTTGTCACCTGGGCCTTAAGTCAGTTTGGTCTGTGTTCAGCTCAGGACTGCCCTGGCAAGTGGGCAGTATCCAGCAGCACCACTAGGAACAGATAAAAATAAACAATATTTCAATACTGATTTTACAGAGCAGGTCATTTAAATAAGTTAAGTGGACTTTATGGTGCAGTTTGAAGGATGTGAGTATGAGGCCTAATTTTACGCAAGAATATTTAATAAAGAAGTGTATCAAAGGGAGTTTTAAAAATTCATATAAAGTTGGCAGCAGCATCTTGATATTCTCAGAATTTTTTGAATGGCTGGTGAGGCAAGAATGAACTTTGCTCCTTGTTCCTCTGTGTGCCCAGATATTTTTTTCTTTTTCATTTCTATTAATTTGCTTGGGAAATATATTAAGTGGACTGGCCTGGATCTCCCCAAAGTGTTTGTTAAACAATGGTGTCCAGTCCTCTGACACTGAACCTGATTAAATGACAAATTGTAAATTTTTTGTGAGGAGGCCAGCACTTTCCTGTTGTAAGTTATTAAAGAACTCTTGGGTTGATGCCATCAGAACCCAGTGATTTTTTTAGTACAGACTCTCAAGATGCACTAAGATAACTTCTCTTGTTGCCTGTACAGTATTTGCTTTTGTTCCTCCAATTTGCTTCCTGAGAAAGTCAATCCAGTTCAGGTATTTACCCTACTTCAGTAGTAAAGATACACGAGAAAGATTCAGTTTCCTGCAATGCATTTATGTTCCCTTTCACTACTTTTTTTGTTTATGAGCCCAGACAACTCACTTACTGGCTTTCTGCTTCATTATTTAAATGTTATTTTTTTATTCTCCACATGTATAAAACTATGGGAATAATATGCTTTATAATACATACTACTCTACATATTATAATATTCTAATTATGTTTTATTAAAATGATAGAATGTAAAAGAAGGCAAGAATTAGATGGAACAAATAACTACTGTAACTTTTTAAAAAGTGTATGAAAACTTTCTAGTAACATATCCTCCCAGTCCCTTCCATCTGTGTCTCTAACCACTAATCAAAATTTAAATAGTATTTTCCTTCCTTCCTGACTGACTGACTGAGAGGGGAAATAATATTAGTTCAAGAGAAGATAAAGATTGTCCTCAGGATCTTTCAGTGGAGATAAGATGGTTTCCAGATCGACTCAAGAGCCCTCAACTCCCCATTCTTCAAAATAGCTCTTCTGTGATTTGATCCACACTGGAGTGATTTACACAAGAAATAAATAAACTATAATGGTTTCCACAAAGTAAAAAACAGCCAACACAGCAATAAAACTTAAGGAGACTTCCTTCAGAAAATGGAAAGGCTAATTGAAAAAGGAAATAGAGAACAGACATAAAAAGAGGAAGAAAGGAAGATTAATCCATAATTAACTGAAGCATAGTTTACTAAATTAAGCAAACTATGCTTCAGTTAATTATGGATTAGTATATTTATTTTTATTCAAATTATATACCTGCTGAGCTCACATTCATATGGTAATACTTAGCTTAGTCTTAGAGAGAGTACACTATATTAGCCCACTCTCTGAAAATCTAGCCAGCTGTAATGAGGAGGAGATTGAGTACATAATCAGGATGGCTTTCCAGGTCTGTAGGATTGTTAGCAGCTTCCTTCTGTTTTTGAGATATATTGCAGTATATATGGTAGCTGCACTGAGGGGAAAGAATGAAAAGCAAACATTAGTAGGCTGTTGTCACCTTGCCATCTTTTCCCAGTTTCCTTTCATAGGATTTCTTAAACAATTCTTATGTAATTCAGAATCTAAACATGGATTTTTAAATATTAACCATGATCTGATTATCTTAATTGAAAACTCCTTAAAAACTAAGACTGCAACTATTCAGAGAATTAAAATTACACAAGGGATAAATTACTTACATAGCACAGCATTTATAAGAATGGTGGCCACTAACAAAAAAGGATATAAAGTCCCATTGTAATTTTAAAAAAAGGATAAAAATGGGGGGAAACTGGTATAAAAATTCGTTTGCTTTCTGGTAATTAATTGAGTGACATGGTTGCTAAGTGAAATATCACATGACTGTGATGGACTTAGATGTCACTTCCCATTCGGTCAGTAAGTTGTTGTTAAGCAAGATTTCATGATTGTGACCTGCAGTTTTACTGCTGGCTTCTCCATTGACTCTACTTGTTGGAAGCCAGTTGTGAAGCATGCAAATGGTGGACACATGACTGTGGAATGCTGCAAGCCACAGACTGCGGAGACACTGCAATGGTCATAAAGTTACTTTTTCAGCACTGTCATAATTTCAGTTATTAAACAGGGCAGTCATTAAGTGAGATCTACTTACATTATTACTTATATGCTGTCCAACTCCCAGTGATTCCAGTCAAGCAATAGAACATCCTCTGAGCTTCATAGAAAAGTTTTTATTCTCACCCGATTTAATCATCTGCTATCAAGGTTTCTGGAAGGGAGATGCAGCAACCTTCACTTTTAGTACCAAATCTGTCTCTGAATGGAGGGTTTTGTTGAATCTTTTGTTTTGCCGAGTTGTCCCTTGTGCTATATATGACACTCTAAATCAGGGGTAGGCAACCTTGGCTCTTTTGTGACTCGTGGACTTCAACTCCCAGAATTCCTGAGCCAGCATGGGTGGCTCAGGAATTCTGGGAGTTGAAGTCCACGAGACATAAAAGAGCCAAGGTTGCCTACCCCTGCTCTAAATGAATATTATCCATCATTGACAGTTCCAGTGGAAAAGAACACATCTGTTGTTATTAGCCAATAATTTTTGAGAAATCTTCTAAATGTGACAAAATATTGCTCTTATGCCATACTTTCTCATTTCCCCAATACTGTAGTAGCATGGCCCATAAAGAAGCAATCTGTAGCATTATGAGTTCTTAGGTATTGCCTTTAAATCCCCTCAAATTTGCCAGAAATTGTTATTTTTAATGTGTTACATACATCCCTTCCCCCATTTTAATAGACCATTATTAAGGAGCATTAGTAGGCAAAATAGGCTACACTGGGACATTGATAGCATTGCCTAAGGGAGGCAGGGAAGGAACAGTGCTGGGAAACTCAGGGAACTTGTGAAAGTCTATTAAGAACTGCAGAAGGAGGGATCAATGCTTTGGTAGGACTAGGGCAAATTCTTGATTTAAAAGACGTTCATCTTTAATGAATACTCCTTCCTCATTTAATTTAGCTTCAATTACATTAAAAACCTTAAATCGAATTTAACTTCTGAGCTAGCTTTTCTTACTTTTTGGGAAGGAGCCTCAAGTTCAAAATCAAAGGTCAGGCGTCTTGCTTTAAGTCATCCTGACTTGGCTCTTCTTGCGGGCCTCTATATTTAGAACCATTAAAGAAGCATGCTTGGGATGGTATGCTGGTCGTACATGGGTCTACTACCCTTGCAGGAATGGAAAGATACCCATTTTTGGAGCCATATTCACCCCAACTTTTCTCCTCTGTATGTACCCACCATTCATCCCAAAAAAGTTCTCTGTTGCAAAGAGGCTTTCCAAAGGGTTGTTTTTTTCTTTAATGAGCATTAAGGCATTAAAAAAGCAGGATGGATGAAGTTTTTTACATGGGAGATTGCAGTTTTTGGTGAAGAATACAGTAGTTAGCATTGTCCTCCTTAGCAGCATTTCCTTCCCTAAATACAATGGCTTCTTTTAAAAATGTTTCCAACAGATTCTTACATACAGTAGGTCCGGCACTAAGGTAATTAAGTAACAAGTCGTCAGCTATCAGAAGGTACATTCTCATGGCATATTGGGAAGAAATTTAAAGACAAGTGATTTCAATCATTGAGAGAAGAACTGAACTCTCCTTCTCTGGATAAATCCAAACAGGCACTTGACAACCTTCCTTCTACTGAGGTTACGTGAACTGGGATTCCTGCACTGAGCAGAGGGTTGGAATGGATGACCTAATGGCACCTTTTCAATTCTATAGTTCTGTGGCTCTCCTTTCTGTTATATAGATCTGCATAGAAAGCTATGGGGTTATCAATGTGCCTGCTCCTCCTTTTGGCACAATAATCCAAGCGTTCATTTCTGCTGCTCTCCATACCGGCAGCATCCTATTCCAGACATAAAAGCACAATTGGCAGCTTGTCTGTTAAGACAATTTAGCATAGTGCATGGTCCCGATATAGGCTGCCATGAATATTCTTTGTCCGTTAGGCTTTCCATGTGTCCCTTTCAAATAAGAAAATCTAGAAAAGGATAGGAGCAGCATCTGCGCTTAGCAGATCTTCAAAATTATTACTAACGGAGATACGGAAAGTTAGCAAGACAAGCAATGAGATATGGACCATCTGAATGTGTGAGAACTAATCCAAGTAGTAGTCTGGTCAAAACAGGCATGTTGTTTGATAATGCAAACAGCAAGAACACCAAGACAAATAATTTTGTATTTGTTGTTCAGTCGCTAAGTTGTGCTCAACCCCTCGCAACCCCATGGACCACGGCATGCCAGGCCCCCTTGTCCTCCACTGTCTGCCGGAGTCTGCCCAAACCCATGCCCCCTGCGTTGATGACACTTCGTATTACCTAGTCTATTTTTCTCATTATATCAATGTAATATTTTCTGGTATGTTAGGAATCCTTAATGCACCTGTTAACCTTGTGCTATATTTTCCTAGCATCAGGGACATGTAGTTAATCGCCTCTCCCCAAACACACTGGAGTTTGGGGTAACAGGGGATGAACCAGATATATGGATAAAACACACCTATACACTCCCCACAAGTATAGATTTTTTTTATTTACAATACCCTATAAAAATGTAAATTTAGAAATTTTCATTAATCATAACCAAACCAAAAAGTAAAAGCACAATAATAATGGACCACTTGATCGTGTATACTGAAAGGAGTAACAGTGGGGGCAGAAGGCTCAAGGAAGGGGTGAAATGTCCAGTAGAATGTGGTTTCAAGAGGCAAATAGGGGAAGAGAATACTGTGGAGAAGCAGCCAGTTAGTAACAGGAGTTCACTGCTTAGAGGATACCTACATGTGCAAATTGTTTTTAAAAACAGAGTAAAAATTAAAAAAACAAAACAAAAAACCTCACCACATTCAAAAAATAAAAATAAAAAGACAACCCAGCAGGACTTAGCAATGTATGATACCAAAATTCAGTAAGATTAATCTGCTCTAGAGGAATTCATTCCTGGTATCTTGTCGGTTAGTCTACACAGGGAGATCTTGGCCAGCTTGAAGCAAGGTGCAGGTCAGAGACAAGCTTAGGTAGAAAATGAGTCTTGGGAAGACTAGACACGTGTGCAAAGATGATGTTGCTTCATCACAAGGTTCAGAAAGATGACTACTTTGTAGGGAATGGGCAGCACTACAAGGCGGCATCTACCACAGGAAGAGCAGAAAATAGACTCAGTGGGTCAATCAAGAGGAATTCCCATCATCTAAAAACATACTCCAACGTTATCAAGAGGCACAGAAACACCAGGCCTCCCCACTTCCACAATAAAAAGACACCACTACCCCTCGGCTCTGTGTTCTTAGCAGTGATACAGGAAGGGTCTCTTTTCTTTAATAGTCCATCAGTAGTGTAGTGGGCAGAGGGGTCTGTGTAGGGAGGAGAAGCCATTGCAAAAGTGCTAAGGAAAAGGATGGCGGAGCTTGGGTAGAATTCAATGCAACAAGGGCATGCAGAAGGGAAAGCACCACCCCAACCAAGCTCCGGGCAAGAGAGCAATCTTCTGTGCTGGGCCAGAGACATAATCCCATAAGGATTTATATGAAGAAGGCACTGCCTCCTCTTTGCCCACTAAAAGATGCTGGAGGGACAGCAATGATGGACACCAGCATGACAACACTCTTGAGGCCTTCTACCGTATTCCTTGGATCAACCTGGGAAGAAGGGAATAAGAATTGTGAGACGGGCTACAGCAATGCTAGCCAGAAAAGTTAACAATTCAGTTTTTCAATATGCACCTTCCAAGCAAAAACCGACTATCTGATTACAAACAAATTAAAACACTTGTTTATTTGACGTAACGCTACAGTAGAACCCATCTTTGAAATAAAGAGAATTATTTATAAATAATGTGAATAAGATTACGTTTTTCCACTGCATGAGCTTACAGTCTAAAAAAGACCACAATGAGGAGAAAGGCATGAATAACCATGATGAATGCCAGAAATTTCCACTGTATACCCATCTACATCTTATTTCAAATAGGCTAAAAATATTTTGCAAAAATACTTCACCTTGATTCAATGTTCTGTTCATATAATGACATTACAATCATTTGATTTGGTATACCCATATTTCTCTTTCCCGCCTGTTTTCCTTTTTAAGCTTGTGCTACTGAAATGCTGTGGGAGTTTTAAGAAAAGTGGACTGTATAAACATCCATAACATCTGAAGTGCCTCTTCTTCTCCCACACACTCCTTTATTTACTACTTTAATAACCCCCCTTTCCCTCAGGAACTCAAAGTAGCAGATCTCCTCCCATTTTTCCCTACAACAACAATCCTATGAAGTAGGTTGCACACTAAGACCGAGTGATCAATATCACTTTCTCCAGTCTCTTCTTCACTGCTATTCTTTATTTCTTCCGTTAATAAATGGATAATAGGACATACTTACTGCAATTTTGTCTCTAGCACATTCAGCTTTTGCGGATCAACATAGCGAGAGAAGAGCGATAAAAGATTAGAGGGCGTAGACACTGGCTTAGCCAAGACCGCCTGAGGGATCCGAAGAAACTCCCTAATTGCCATGATCATCACTTCCGTCCTGCCAAGGACAAGGTAACAACGGTTATGAAAACAGTGAGTTTTATTCAGCGTTCGATACAGAAATTAAACTGCAGATTGTGGAATTGCCATGGGAAATATTGCATTAAGTAAGCTGGCTTTATGTTCTGAACAACTTTCTAAAGTCTACATCACTGTTCCTCAACCTCAATAACTTTAAAATTTGTGCTCTTAATGCCCAGAATTGGCTGGGGAATTCTTGGACTTGACATTTACACATCTTAAAGTTGCTAAGGTTGAGAAACACAGATCTGAACGTATCCAACGTATACCATTTAAGACTCACCACTGATTATCTTGTGTGAGTTCTGTAGCAGAATCTGAACTCTGCAACTCCTCTCCTCGACTTAAGACCAAGTATAGCAGAGAGAGGCCAAACTAAAGAATGGGTAAAAACAAAACAACAACAACAAATTACATCTGCACACTGCAAAGCAAATCACATATCAACACTCTCCAAATCAAAAGAAAGAAAGCATCCTAGCTTGCTGTCTGGGAAAATGGGCGTTTGTGGCTGACCATGATCATTTTGTGGCCCTGAAAGGTTGCCTACTTTTGCACCAAAGCAATTCTCAATTGCAGTTAAAAGAAAGCTAGAGTGATAAAAAGCACGCAAAACTGTCAGTTATCTCAAGGAGTATTACCCCATAATATAGAACAGTGATGGCGAACCTTTTAGAGACCGAGTGCCCAAACTGCAACTCAAAACCCACTTATGTATCATCGGGTGCCGGGTGGGCATGGCCCATTGGGTGGGTGTGGCCCATTGGGTGGGCGTGGCTGCGGTGGTAACGGCAGACTGGGTGGGACTAAAAAGTTCAATCAATCAATTCCAACTTTGAGAGATCTTTTTTTTCCGCGAGAAGTTGAAATTGATTGATTGAACCTTTTTTTTTTTTGCACATGGCGGCAGAGGCCTAAAGCGAAAAGGTTTTATAAAACCCAGCTGAAGGCCTAGGACTGAGGCAACGGCGCGGGTGCCCAGAGAGAAGGCTCTGCGTGCCACCTGTGGCACGCGTGCCATAGGTTCACCACCACGGATCTAGGCAGCCGAGCAGCGCCATGGCGGCCATGCCCTCTGCCCGCGCCCCGCAGCATCAACTGTGCACGATGGGGCGTGAGGGCAGAGTCTTGTCTACGCTGCCTGGCTGCCATGTCCTTGGCTGCACTGCTCCGTGTGGGCCACACTTGGGGGCAACTCTCCTCCAGGAGGGCTGCTGGTGAGGAGGGGGTTGCGGGGGAGGCAAGGCTAGGGCAATGGCATGTGTGCCCACCGAGAGGGCTCCGAGTGCCGCCTCTGGCACGCGTGCCATAGGTTCGCTACCACTGATATAGAAGAGGGAAAAAAAGCTACACCAGCTCAAGAGCTTCATTGAACAGATAGTACAAAAGCATTCCTATCTTAACAGGCTACATTGCAGACTAAATATCATAGATTATCTTTCCTTCATTCCTCAGTCATTTCTGGGAGAGGAAAAACTCTGAAATTAGCATTACTCCACATTTCATGAGCAGTAAAAGGACCACATTGGCTTCTAATACAGGTAGCCTTGACTTATGGCCATCTGAAATTATGACTGCCCCCCCCCCCAAATGGGACTTACAACCCAGATTCAATGTTCCAATGGTTGGGCCCCCTCCACAGTCATAAGACTGAACTGCAGGTGCTCAGCAACACGGCCACATTTATGGCTGTTTGCAGCATCCCACGGTCACATGACTTGACGGTATTGCCTTAACATTGTCATTTCCTTCCAGTTTTCGGCAAAACCATGTCTCTAGTGAACAATTAGTTCACTCAGTGACCATGGTGTTTGCTTAATGGCTGTGGATTCCCTTAACGACCACCACAAAAACAGTCATAAAGTTGGATTGGTCACGTGACTGTTTACAACGTATGACTGTAATAGGCAGGCTCCATCACAGTCATATGGTGAGGATTACCTATACATCGTGAAAAGAAGTAGCACCCTAAATTGGAACCAACAGGCAGGTTTTATGACTCGTGGACTTCAACTCCCAGAATTCCTGAGCCAGCCAAGCTGCCTCAGGAATTCTGGGAGTTGAAGTCCACGAGTCATAAAAGAGCCAAGGTTGCCTACCCCTGGAATAGAGCAAAGCATAGTAAGAATTAGAAACCTTGTTCTGGAGAACTGCTGTGAGGTGGAGATTGGCAGCTGCGGTCACCGTTGCACTGTGAGGTAGGTTCATTAGTTGTTGTAAGATGCTGGTAACAGTTCCCAATGGAAGATGATAAAGAACAAGGGAAAAGGGCCTCAAGAGGCAGGGAAGCACCTAAAGAAGGTTATGTTAAAAACACATGTTACTTAGACAATACACACACCACACAAAGAGATGGCCTGGAACAAATCTAGAGTACCACAGCGATTTCTAATTTTTTTTAATCTAGTAGAAATCATGACACATTTTTATTTGCTAAACAATGGTAAATAAACAGTAAATTTCAGTGGAAGTGGTTACTGGAAAATTAAACTATATTACAAATG